TGTGTTAATAACTCTTTGGGCGAAGAAGTACTTTGATCTGTTCTAACCTGACTGCTCAGCAATTTCATAGAGTGCCCATGAGTTCTTGTATTGTGAGAAAGGGAGAAAAGTACTTCTTTCTCTACCTGCTCTATCCCATGTATAATCTTGTAAACCTCAATCGTCACCCCCTCAATCGTCATTTCTCCAAGCTAAAGAGCCCCAAGCACTTTAACCTTTCTTCATAGGGAAAGTGTTCCAACCCTTTTCTGCACTTTTCCCAATGCTATAATATCCTTTTTGAGGTGTGGTGTGACCAGAACTGTACACAGTACTCCAAATGAGGTCGCACCATTGATTTATACAGGGGCATTATGATACTGGCTGATTTGTTTTCAGTTCCCTTCCTAATAATCCCCAGCATAGCGTTGGCCTTTTTTATTGCAGTCGCACACTGTCTCGACATTTTCATGATCAGCCAGAATTCTCAGATTGACAGGAGCGGGGGTGTGGGGTGTAAAACGTGGTACTGGAAGCACAGTTCACCTTCCCCAAAAGCTTTGCTTTCATTTCAAACAAGGCCCAAGCTTCCACCTCTTACAGCCGTAAAGAGATGCTTCAAAATGCATTCAGCCAGTGCGAAGTCTCGGAAGCCGAATCGTTCCAAGGGTTTGAAAAACCACATGCCAAAGAAGGGCCCCTGCAGGGCTCTTTGCTGCTCCCTGGAATGAACAAATCCTGAACAAATGTTAACACAGTAAAACTGCAGAATTAACGCTGGTTTTCATAATTTATACATTGCATAAACAAAGCTTTTCCTGGATTACGCAAAGAACTCTTAAGTCGCATGCAGCGTGCGCCCCAAACAGAGCATTTCTTTGGAAAGCGTGGTCAGAAGTCCTTCAAACTCCTGGAACAGACCGTGCCTGGGGGGAAAACTGGGGGGGGGGGGGGTTGTGCAAAAATTTCAAGGAATCCAGAGATACATGCACAGCCATTGCCGCCCCAAACTTTGTCGTCATGCATGAACACTAAAGGAAATATGAGGACCAAAATTGGACCTGGTCAAACTTCTGGGCCCTCTACAAGCAAGAACTCCAAGAGCTGGATTATTGGCACCAACTACTTTCAGACACGGCTGAATGAGCAGATGTCTCATTTGGCCCACCTAGCCTTACTTAACTGTTCAAGAAAATCCACACACATTTCCGGTCATGGCTGCGCGCTTGGTGACTGATTCTCGGGTCTGCTCCCGGAATCGGATCACCCACACACTGCCTGGAGGGGTCCCGCAATTGCGGAGACTCTAAGGAGCCTTTGTTAAAGGGCTCCGAACCAGGGGGTGCCCTGAGAGACTGGGGGTAGCCTGTTGCCGGCACGAAAAGCTGGGAATTGATGCTCCCCCGCCAAAAAGTCTCTCCTACCCCAAACGGCTCCAGCAGTGTTGTGCCCTGTAATGGGGACCAGCTAAGCCGCCGGGACAGCGGAGTGGTAGAGCGGGGCAAACCAGAGAACTAAACGGCAAGACGACGAACTGTAAGTCGAGGCTTCGACAAAATCGGTGGCGTAAAAGGCTCCCCCCCCGAAAAGAAGCGGAAAGGAGGGAGGAGGGAATCCCCCCCCCGGGAGCGACTGTTTTTAAAGCGTAAAGAGGGGGGCGACGCAAGAATTGAATAAAGCGAGTTACCTTCTGGCTGTGAAAAACAGAGCGAAGGTCTGGGAGGTTTCCTGACGAGCTGCATTTAAAACTTCCAAAGAGTAAACAAAGCGACAACATGGCGAACTTGAGAAAGTTAGCAGAGAAACAATCCAAGAAGACAGGTGGGACTTCCTGTCCCAGTCCCTCCAGTTCTGGAGCTGCTGCCAATCAACCTGACACTGATCTTGCACGCCATCTGCTGGCAGAACTGCAAAAAATAAATAAGAAACTGGATTCTGTTGAGGATGCTTTGGGCTTACAGCAAAAGAAGATAACAGAGGTAGCTGAGAAGATGGATGATACTGTAAAAAAATGCCTTCAATCAGCAGAAGATGTACAGACAGTTAAGAAGAAGGTCCAAAAAGTGGAAAAGCATTAAGAAAGGCAGGACAACAAGCTGCTTATGCTTCAAATGGAAAAATCCAACCTTATTCTCCGCTTCCAGGGGAAGAGCAGTTTGTGTCAGAGTTCTCTCAGCCCCACCCACCTCACAGGGTGTCTGTTGTGGGGAGGGGAAGGGAAAGGAGTTTGTAAGCCGCTCTGAGACTCCAAGTGAAGGGCGGGGTATAAATCCAATCTCTTCTTCTTCTTCTTCTTAGAGGGAACACTGCTCATAGGGGCATTGACTGTTACCCTACCAAAACATACAATTCAGCACAGAAAAAGAAATTAAGGGTAAACTCCCATTTCTAAATATCATGGTTATCCACAAAGCTAACCTTCAATTAGGTCACAAGGTCTACAAAAAAACCAACTCACACGGATCGCTGTTTATACAAAAACTCCGACCACCACCCTCCGTAAAAAAGAGGCATCATCAAAACATTAGCAGACTGTGCAAAACGGATATGTGAACCACACTTTCTCAACAATGACTCAGCCCTACCCCACCTTCCTGAGTAGATATAAATTACCTGCCTACCATTTTTCTTCTCATCTTGACACAGAGAGTACTCCACCTTTCTGTGTTATAATTCTAAGGATGCCAGTCACAGCTACTGGCGAAACATCAGGCACTACAATGCCAAGACCACGGGTCATACAGCCCGGAAAATCTAAGAGGGCATTTGGAATTTTTTTTTTTAAAAAAAAAAAAAAAGGTAATGAAATTAAATACAAAAAAAAAAAGTCCTAATGCAATATTAAGGTTGGAAATTTAAAATACCCCCTTTTCTCCTCCCCCCCACTGCCTGGGAAATGCGACAAGAAAGGTTCGTAGACCGGCTGAGAGTTACCCCTACTGAACTGACATGATTTCAAAAAGTATGAGGAAACAGGAAATTGTCTGCTTAATATCCAGCAATCTAAATTCCACTGGCATGCTTCTTTTTCGTCGAAGATGGAAAAAAAAATATCCAGCAACACCCTAAAATCGCCCAATGCCTTAAAGGTTTGGCATTTCTTGACGCGGTGCGCTTTCGTTGGCTACCTTAGCGCTGTATCTTGGGAGCAGTGCTTTATACCCTGCATAAAGAAATCTGTGTTCTCTTACCTCCAGACCCCAAAATCCATTTCCCTCAAATCTCTCTCCTGTCTGGCACAGCTCAGAGATGTGTGTGTGTGTGTGTGCACATAGAGATCTTTAAAAGGTTTAGGAGAAGGAGAGAGCAAGTGGTCATCAAGTAAAGAAGATTTTCACGCACAGGCAAACCGTCTTCATGGTCCATGTCCGATTGGGTCTGATGGACTGTGTCATCCCAACAGCGGCTCACATATTTCGACGGCCATCCAAGGCGGATGTGACTCACAACTCTGGCCAAGCTTCAGTATCTATATCTTATAGATATCTTAACATCTAAAGGAGGGTGCAGTTCGTGCACCAGATTAAAGGTGCCATTACCTCAATGCTCAGAGCACAACATTCTCAGCCACATGACAACTCTCACACCAGAAGAAACAAGGGTGCATCTATTCGTGACAACAAGTTCACCATTACTGAAAAATCCTCAAAAGGCTCACAGTGCACAGGACAGCAGGCACCCTCATATTCCCTCATGCATGGGTGACATCCCCCCCCCAAAGACAATGTGTACCCTTTTTTTTTTAAACTCGGTAGCTACAGGGAGTGGCACAAGAGCCAATACCTCCTTCAGATCTCTGAAATAACCAGGATGAGACCTACTTATGCCTGTGATATATGCACATACAATCCACACACACCCTGCACCTCTACACGAGGTTCAAAAACCTGTTTGACCCAGGGCTGTACTGAACGAGGGGAGGGGAATGAACATGTCCCCACATCCACCAACGGTTCTCTCATTTAACGCTTCCAGGGATTTGAGAAGTCATCTGGTTGGGCCAATATATTCCACTAATGGAATATTGACACACTGGAAGAAAGCACCTCCGCTGGCAGAACAGACCCACACAACTTGAGAGTTTACACTACCCCATCACGGAAAGACCATTCGCTATTGTGTTGTCCACAGCTCACTGAGCCCTTGCTCTGTCCTCTGAGATGAAGGAGACAGCCGGGGCTTTTTTTGTAGAAAAAGCCCAGCAGGAACTCATTAGTATAATAGGCCACACCCAAAACCAGAAATTCATTAGCATATTAGCCACACCCCTGACATCACAACTTATTAGCATATTAGACCACACCCCCATGTCACCACGCCCACCTTTTGCTTCTCATTCTGTTTACTTTGTTTGTAGTCAAAACCCTGGGCTTTTT